AGAACTTGGAAGTATCTTTGAAAAGTCGCGAATAATTGTAAAGTTTTAAGAAAAGTGTCCCACAATACTTGGAAGTGAGTAGGCGTTCGCCAAATACGACAGCGTGCAACAGTGCAAAATATGCAAAAAGATCCAGCCAGTTTATTAAACGATCTGCGTGTGGTCCGCGGTTCAAGAGAGAGAGAGAGAGAGAGAGAGAGAGAGAGAGAGAGAGAGAGAGAGAGAGAAAGAATACGCGTGCCACGCTTGTGCGTGCGCATCCCGATGATTTTCGAGAGAGTGATGGACAGACAGGCTGCCGCGGCGGTAGCAACAGCCTCCTGAAACAAGCACGCATACAAAAATAACCGAAAGAAGCGAAGCAGCAGCCCTCATTTTCGAGCGACACAAACCAGACTTATCTTGGAAAACGACGCGCGCGCGCGCGTAGTGGGAGGGTCCGCGTGTACGTGTGCAGCCAACACAGCGGCAGCTCGACAATGGGCGCGAAACTATTTAGCGCGAGCCGAGGTAGATAGGTAGGTAGGTAGCCGCTATAGAATGCCGCGCGCCGTGGCTTTCCCTCTGCTTTGGCTTTTCGACTCGCGCGTCTACATTTATACACGTGAAAGGAGCGCTCGAAATCTCCTTTTGGTGCGCGCCTACGGGACGAAAAAGAAGAGGGAATTTTACGCCGATTCCCGGCTGAACTGCGCCAGATTTCACGGGTCTTAAAGATAACCGGCGGATCTTCTCCTCGAGTGGCTCAGGCTTGCCGCCTCAATTGAGACGGGGTGCCGTTTTGTGCGTCTTCATTTGCGCGCCAGAGCCCGCAGAGGGCGGGATTTCATTTTGCGGTCTTGCTCGAAGGCGGAGGTCGACGTGAACGTAGCTCGCGGAAGGAAGGCTCCTTTCAAGGCGGCCGCGCATTATTTCGTCCGCGGTGCATAATAGATCGCTCGCGTGCACGCGCGCCCAAGATATCGCAAGACTTCCAGCGGGACCGCGGTACCAACACATTTCGTCGGAAGTGAAACGAGAACTCTCCGATATCTAATTGAGACGTTTCGACAATCTCCCCGAGGAGCTTTCCTTCCCTCTCCCGTGTAAAAGGCTATTCGATGCACCACTCGCTTCCCGCTCTCTCTCTCTCTCTCTCTCGTCGATAATTCTACAACGCATTACTTCCTCCGAAAAGGCGAAAATGTACGTATAATTAACCGGAGGAGAAAAGAAACTCGAAGCGATATGTGAAAACATATTTCTGCTTGCGCGGCTCGAAGACAAGTGTCGAGGCTCGTGAGGGAAAAGTGCCTCGACAAAGGCAAATCGCGAGCACGGACACTCTCATCAAGATGAAGAATTTAAAAGGCCTCGCTTAGATCACATTGTCGCGCATCCCTCGCGCGCAACCCCTTTGTCGCATTCAAGTCTACAAGCAAACAGACAACAAAGTCCGCTGCCGGCTTCCGTAAGGAATCGATTAAGCTTTTCCCCCGCCCGCCGGCGGCAGAGAGAAAAAAAGGAGGAAGGGGCAGGCGCTAATTGTAATACAAGTGCGTAAACATTTCGCAAGCCTGTTTATTTTTCCTTTTGTTTATTCCCCTTTCTGTCGGCTTCTTTGTCAATGCTGCGCTGCGCACGTTCCTTTGCTCCAATCGAGCGAGAAGCCGAATGGGAAAGCGCGAGTAAGTCAAGTTCCACGAGTTACTGCCGACGTTTCTCTCTCGCCGGCCAAAACTAAATAAAACTGTACAGGTACGTTTCTTTGTATTTTTGTAGAACAATGAGGTGAGCTCTCTGTCTCTTTTCTCTCTCTTGCTCGCTCTGTGTTTTTAGCCTCCCCGCGCGACGCCAGCGTTTTCAAGCAACCGCACGCCGCCACAGCGATGTTTTTGCTTGTTATTGTCGCACGAGGGAACGAGTTTTCGACTTCTCCTTGTTCGCCTGCTCTCTCCTCGAAGGCGGACGATTAAGTGCCCCGCGCACGAGGCGAATCGCGAATCGAAAAGCGTCTCGAAAATAGCTGCGGTCCTCCCCTCGTTACACGTGACTTCGGTCTTGGACGCTGCGAATCGCGCGGCGTCGATCAAGGCCGCCTTTTTCTTTTTCAACGCCAAATCTGCCGACTCGTATGACGGACTCGCGCGCTCTCCGAATTAATTCGACCGCCCCGCGGTAGAGACAATATTTACCGCGATAATGCACACAGCCCACGCGGGCGAGCTTCCATCGTTATTTGCGCCAACGTGTGTTTATATATCATAAGCCGACATCCATCACATCCATCCATGTACACACTCGCGCTCTCCAATTTGCCTTTTTCCGATAACCACTGAATTTCTTTTCCGCCTCTCTTGCGTTCGGACCCACGTCAGAGCCAATAACCACGAGTAGCAGTGAGTTTCCCTCCCGCAATCAGTTCTATTAAAACATTAGCGGGGGAAATGGAGCTCGATCGATTTTCCCGCGGTTTTTCCGCGATTTTTCCGTGATTTTCCCGCGATTTTCCCGCGATTTTCCCGCGGTATAAGGGACGAAAAACGGGCACGGAAAAGAAAAAAGAAAAACACGAGGCGAAAGCGGCTGCTAATTTGCAAAAAGCGCGATTCCTTGCGTTTTGCTATCGGCCGGCGCGATCCCTCGCAGAGCGAATCTCGCATCGCAGCAGCAGTGCCTTTAACCGAGAGAGGATACTTCCCGGGAATTCCTTAGATCGATCGCCAAGCGCGAGCCCTTTTAGCTGCTCTCCTCGTCGAAGGCTGCTGCTCTTCTTTTTTTCTCTGGCTTGGCTACTTTGTGCGGCCCGCAGCTCGCTGCTGCGTTATTGTATAATAACGTTAATTAGCTTGGCCGATGAAACGCACGCTACAACGCCAATTGCCACTCGACGGAGGCAGCTTGATAAGTTTGCCGAGCTCGCGCGCGCGCGCAGTTTCGCAACAACATTGGCGGCAATTTGTCGCGCACCGATCGATTTCAATTTGTTGCGAGAAATCAGGTTGCCTTTGAAATTGGGATTATTTCCGAAAGTGACTGGAAAGTGGCTCGGATTTACCGCGCATTGAGAGCCGATTTATCTCTGATTCACGCACTGCTCCCGCCGCCGTGAGTACGAGCAAAGCGATGTTTACATTCAAGTGTACGTAACCCGCGGTCCGACTGAAATACGCGCCATTGTGGCTCGAAAATTTTCGCTACACGTCGCGGGGGACATTTACGAGCGTGCAGTCGCTTTTTGGAAGATGCCGCGTGCTCTCCGCGCTATGATTGTCTCTCTTTCGGCTGGGCTCCGCGTACTTTCTAATCTCTACTTTCGCCGCTCTCCGCCGCGCGCACTGTTATTCAACATTATTTACGAGATTTTCTTTGCGTCATCAGCTGCCTCGCCAAGCAGGAATTCCGTCGCTATCCGTCGCTACGCTTCGGCTACGTCGTTATGCTCATTCCTTATTCTACGAGCAAGAGTTTCATCGAAAAGTCTTGTTTACCGAGTCCGTCCCTTCTTTCTCATAGTCAATCTCGATAGCGACGACATTACAATGGCTATTTCGCGTTTCGCGTCAAGTTTTAATTACCGTCGATCGCACGGAAAATTGGAACAATCGGTTCAAAGTTACAGGCATTATAATGAAAACCAGCCGAAAGTTTATTTCAGTGGAGCCCTGCGATTGATTTCTATTCGTGCTTAATTAAAATTGCGAATTATTGGTATTTTAAGAGAGATTACATTAGCATAAACCAAGAAACCTGCTTGGACAAGTCAAGAATAATTGTACAATTGCATTATAGCTTGAAAACCGGACTATCGACAATTCAGTTACAGCATTCTTCTAGCTCGTTACTCTCACTTTTCAGCTGATCAAACTGAAATTTATTACTTTTCAACGTCAAAACACAAATTCAAGATTGTTTTAAACGTACTCTCTGTGCGGGTATATCAGCGTGAATTATTGAAAGACACTGGGAATTCAGTAGCTAAAGTTTGGTGTGGGGAGCGTTCCTGAATAATTTTACAAAGGGCCGGAAACCCAAACCTTCTGTTAACAAAACTTTTTGGTCAAATATTTGCGGTGAAAAGCCGAATATGTATGAAAGGGAATACATCAAGAAGCGTCCATATACCCAGCGCGAGATTATACAATTCAGAGTCGTGTTGTTCTGTTATACGCACTGGCCGCGAATTTGTCATCGTCGACGAAAAAAAACCCCGAAACAGCGCGTTTCCCCGTATAAAGCGTCGTCGAGCACGAGCGAGCATAAAAGAAAACGATTCATCGTCGATTGGCACGTCGCCGCGCGCTCTCTCGTTCTTTTTACCGTTCACTCGCTTCGCGTGAAACAAGCTCATCTTTGCACGCGGCGTGGCTATATCAGCTTAGCTTCTACTTTGAAAACTTGTCCTTTCTCGATATTGATAAACTAAAGAACCGGAAAAATGCTTTTTTTCTTGCCGAATAAACACTCGTTATTTACGCGCACTTCGGGAGCAGGGAAGAGCGAAGGGGCATCGATTGAAATTCAAATGTGCGCAGGTCTGCACTTGCACACAGGTGGAAGTCGCGGTGGGGATACAGAAAGGGGCGACGAGGTTGCGCTCACTGTACAACGGAGAGAGAGAGGAGAGAGAGAGAGAGAGAGAGAGAGAGCGAGCACGAGCACGCGATAATGGTGTGACACGCTGTAATGAGGCAGGCTCTTCTTAAAAATCGATCGCTAAGGTAACTACGTATTTTTTCCTTTTTTCGGAAGTTCCGTGACTTCAAAGAATCTTTCGGTCCTTTCACCCGCGCCCAGTGGCGCCTCAGCAGACATTGTGCTCGCGTACCCTCTCCTTTTCACTTGAATTCGTGAAGAGCGTACGTTTCTTTGAACTCTCTTATCCATTCCCGCGGCCGTGTCACTCGTTGCATCTTGTTGTGCAAGTATACGTAATACGGGGATACATCGCAATTAACGCTCTGCCTCGTAAAAACTCGTTCATCCGCATACACCGTAAAATAACTCCAAAAATCACTAACTTGTCAACGATAGCGCTGGCTAGGTCGGAACTCCTAGCTGTAGACAAATTCGGCATCCTTGCAGCATTCGTACATCCCATCAGATGATCTCTTACAGCTAGCAGATTACAAGTCAACCTGGTTTTACAATGTCTGCATCTGACTGTTGGTCTGTTAACTCTTGAAGTCCTCAACATCTTCAAGTTTGCGTCGTGCAGCATCTGGATTTCGCTGAAGCAACTATGCGGGGCCATAAAAACAATATCAACACACGCGCATACACTTTATTCGACACAGAGTTCACAAATTCAAATCGGAACTCCTCGCCTTTGCTCGACAGTTTTTCGACTGACGACTCGTGGCTCGCCGTTGGCTCACTGCGCTCGTCTTGGAATTTTCGTTTCCACCGCGCTCTACAGACTGCGGCTTAGCAAGCCAGACAGGAGAGAGCAGCTGATTCACCCCGGCGCTAAACGCCGCGCGCTCGACAAGTCGTTACAAGTCCAGACTCGCTTTCGTCATCGTGGTGTGGGCTTTGTAACGGTCGTTCGCCAACTCTGTGCTCCGTCTCTCACTAAGTAGGCTTCCCACTCGGGATAATTACAGAGAAAGAATAAAGTACGTATCAGCCATAGTAGTTGTACGGCAGAATGCGCTCGACAAGGCGCATATGGTCCAGACTCGTATTTGTCGTTGACGCGTGAGCTTTGTAGATTTTCACCCACAGAATAATGCCAAGACTCGAACAATGTACAGCACTACGTACGATCGTAGGTGAGTAGCGTGCTTTAAAATATCTCTCTCTTGAATGCAATGCTCTCTCATAGTTTTCTATGCTCTTATAGTATCATTTACTGGTAAATAAATATGTAGTAACGTTAATGTCCTCATTCCAAGTTCTATGTTGAAAAACCATCCAAAAGTTTCAAAAACACGATAAAAATGTAATATAAGTTCTAAAAACATTATTGTTGATCATAGTTTTCACAATGTAAATAACATACTTCGGTAGACGTTTACGGTTGTAATTAGTGCGTTTTCAAAAAACTTCCAATGTTTTACTTTACTAAACAAAGCCGAAATCATTACAATATTTCATCGTAGTGATCTATCAATTTGTAGTTTTTATTGTCGAATTTGTTTATTCGAAACTAAACTTTCACAAACAGCAATGTTCGATTAATTTTTCTATCGACTTATCAGTCGGTTATTGTTTTGACGTTGAAATGCTTTATACTGCAGTTATTTTTCATAAATGTGCACTAAATATATATGCTATCACAGAACAGCTGATCACGTAACTATTTTTCAGTTAATTAAATCGCCAATAAACTGACTACTCTGTTAAGTTTTCTTTTTTATAAGGAAAAGGAGGAGGAGGATCACAATGAGATAATCGTATATTAATATATACGACCTTGTAACTTTTGACTCGAGGATTGGTGATAACTACATTTTTCCAGAGATTTTCAATATTAAACTTCCACAATAGCTCATAAACAAGTACAATTAACTTTTTTCATCGATAATTTGTTGCTTCTCGGCAATTTTTCTACATCTACATTCTTTTTTCTTGCAAATAATCGACACGCCATGGATCTCGATGAGATCATTAGAATCAGGGATGTCAAAAAACACTCCGCGACAATATTGAACAACGAACTAATTTATAGCGGTTTTGCTATAACTCTGCTTTAAATAAGTTTTTCTGATAGTCTGGAAAAACGGCCGGATTCGAGGTGTAAAAACGAAGGGTATGGCTTTGTCGTATCGATATTTTTTAAATTAAGTGATGATTATTACAGTTAAAACCATCGAATTAGCAACAAATTTTTTGGGCACTAGATTACTTGCGCATTCGCGTTCAGCGACTAGTCTATAATTCGTCCGTCAATCGGCCACGTAAAGGTACCCTGCGCCTAAAGTCCAGACTCGTTTCTGTCGTTGACGCGTGGCGGACTGTGTAACGGCCACTCGTCGAGTCTGTGCTCTGTCTCGGGCTAATTACAGAGAACGAGGGAGGAATGTATCGGCCGTAGTAGCTGTACGGAAGCACGCGCTCATGATTTCGGAGCGCGTGTGCGGAGGGTCGTGCACTTGCTGAGTCGAGAGGTAAGTGGGTTAGAGAGGTGGCTTGGCTTAATTAATACGGCCGCTCTCTCGGTGGGCTTTCGAGTGACTCTCTCTCTCCTCTTTGCCCGTGGTTTTTCGTGGATTTTCCTTCTTTGTTCGCGTTTGCGTGCGACACTTCAATACCAGCCAGTCGAATCGCGATATTTCGCCCGAATGTTTGTCAACTCGACCTGCCGTAAGCGCCTCGGCTATTGCGACACAATTCACAGACGGTGCGCCCAGTGACTCGGTTATGACAAGAGGTTCAGTCACGCCCGCAGACATAAGGTACCGATTGTCCACTGCCTGCTGCGCTTGCACGCTTTACGGTAAATAATAGCGCTCGTTGGCCTCTACGAGCATTCTGACTCATATTCGACGTAAACACTGCGTAATAATCGCAGATTACTACGGCACCGATCCTTCGAGATTTTTTGTGGCTAAGTGGACGTAATTAGCTGCGATTGTCGCGACTTTTTATTCTGTCGTTTGTCATTTCGTTTGTTCTTTCTATTTTGCTTTTTCTTTATCCGAGCGAATTGAATGGTATTCAATTATGAACCCTGGCTGAGAGAATCACAGTCCTTTGATGGCTGTATAGTAGCAAACATGGCAGTTGAGAATGGGCGCAATGCACTGGTGCTACTGCCGATGCGCTTGTTAAAATTAATGACCTTGCACACTGAAACGTGTCCGGCGATTTATTTGGAATTAATCTGTTTGTGCTAAAATATTTGTGTAATTAGCTGAAAAAATGGGCGTACGAGATGTTGCGATTAACATGACGACACAGCACAGACGAGTAATGTTATAATGTCAGTAATTCCATTAGCATCTAACAATGACTGGATATACACTACATTCGCAACGAAAATTCAATTTCATCAGGTGCATTATCATTTGCAAATAGATGCGCTTGCGTGCTAAAATTAGCATTCAATTACTTTGATAAATCGAGCGCAATTACAATGTGCGCTCGCCCGCCGAAAATGTTGGCTTTGAAGCTCGCGGGTCGGTAGCTCCCCCTTTCGTCCCGCGAAAATAGATGAGTTTAAAATGCAAAGTTGGAGTGGCACGCCTGCGCTCGTGCGCAATGGGAAAAAAAGAGCAAACAATGCGAATCGGCGGGGAAGAAAGATGACAAGATAAAGGGACTTCTCTCTCTTTCTCTCTCTCTCATATTCTTGCGTCGCGAAAAATCACATATATGCGCCGCCAGCGCGGTCCTCAATTGCAATTTTTACTCGTGTCCCAATCTCGTTGGACGATCGCTGTCTTCTCTCTGTCTCGGAAGTCGCGTCGATAACAATCGCGCATTTCGACGTTTGGCAGCGGACTTCTGCCCCGAGCCTTAGGTTTTTTTTCCAATCGCGCGATCTAAAAGCGTGCGCCACTTCCGCTTGCGCCGAATATTATATATATATATATACGTACTACAACTCCCCTATTTTCTCTCCCCGCGCTATCGGAGTCGAAAGGAACGCAGCGAGTGTCGTTAGTTATACGCCAAGTGCCGGTGCGCGGCAAGTGCAGAAAAGCCTCCAAGGACTCGTCGTTTTTTCGTAGATTCGCGCTCGCGCGTGGCTTGTTTGTCATTT